CTATCAAATCTGCTTTTCAACTTTAAACTTTCAAATTTTAAAATACAATTTATAAAAATAAATTGAAATGTTATTTAAGAAATTTAAGATAAGTTTGATTTCGTATTGTCAACAGTTTGGTGAAAAGTAGAATTTTTTGTAGGAGTATAATACAATGTTTAAAACACGTTAATTAATAAAATTCTTATGCTAGACAAATTTAATAATTATTGTATAGTGAAAAAAAGAGGGAAAAAGCATTATAAACATAATGATATAAACCAAAGTGCAGTGTTCATTATGAATGCTTTCTGTGCTTTTGTGTGTGTTTGTGTGTTTGTTACCTATCCTGCTGAGGAGGTTTTTCCGGGCCATGACAAAAGCCAGGATATCTGCATCAACTTGCTGATCTCCAGTCAGTGGAATAGAAGACGTCGTGATTGTTGTTGCGGAAAGATCCCTGAAAGGTACTCAGGGTTATTGCGACATGTCATAAGTCTGACATATAAACATACTTCTAAACACAGAGATGTGTCAGTGTATCCACTGCTGCTCAACRTTTCAACAGTTCATGTTTAAAAATTTAAAGCACCAACTTTAACAAGCACCAGCTCTACACATTTTACAGCCTCTGCGCGAAACAACGAATGGTTTATATTGTGAGCGCTTGTATGAGGGGAAGCATATCCATAATACGCTGAGTGTTTAATGGCAGCTGTAAAAAAACAGAGCCTYCAGCATCTGGGTTAAGGTGAGACTTTTTGATTTGTGAACATCACATGTAGACGTTACTTCACAAAGACATAAAACTTAATGGCAGTGAAAAGCAAACAGAGCAGCTATAAAACTTGCAGACTGGACATATGGATTTGAAAGGTGCTTCAAATGTGTAGAAAGTGCTGCTGCGTTGTGTGTATGAGGAAAAATATTTGACAGATTTGAATGTACTGGTGCCATCTATAAAAACTTTAACTTGTTTCAGCAGATGTCTGAGAAATTGCAAATTTCATTGAGCTTTATATCATGTTCCAACGTCATTCTTCAAAAACATACCCAGTGTTGCTTTGACTCATTCGTGCATGTTTGAGAAATCCTTAAATCTCCTGTGATAACCTGCCCAAACACTTGCTCGTGCAAAGCACCGCCTGTACTTTATGCACAAAGCTCCTCCCTGCAGCTCAGTCTGCAGCCTAGCTCATGCCCCACAGAGCACCTCTCCCCTGAAGCATTGTTGAAAATATGTGCTGAAGTGGGAGTGTTGGAAACGGTAGGAAGTTCTTAAAAAGACAGGCCATTTTCAAGGCATTTAGGTAGGCCAGGGCTCTGCAACCTGCGGTTCTGGGGCCACAGATGGCTCTTGGGTCCCTCTGCAGCAGCTCTTTGAAGCTTTGACCAAAGCTAACATGAAATTACATTTTGTGTTTTTTATATTCACAGCAGAAAAAGCTAGCTTTTGCAGTTTTCCCCTCAATTTGTTTGCAAATATGTGACCAATGATACAAGGAGTAAAACTTGTTGATTAGATCATGCTAATAGTCTGTTGGACACTTCAATAATCCAACTTCCAGCTTTACAGTCTGATATTTCTCTCAAATCCATCAGGGTTATGTTTAAAGACCCTTAAGACTAGACTAGATAACAATTAGAAATAGAAAAAAATATATACTTGCATAGTTCAGTCGTAGTTTTACTTGAATTTGGTAGTATTTTCCTTATTTACATGAATAGTGTCTTTTGTTTTGTCCTAAAGTGTAAAAATAATAATAATTTTTAAAATTTGCTATTCATTTTTAGTTTTAAAATGTCACCCCTACTGGCCAGAAAAGCCCATGTTCAGTTAGTTAACTGGAAGTGGCCCATGGGTCACCAGTTGATAATCACAGTTGTATCATGTTTTATTGTTCCAGATACATTTTATTATAGAGCCAAGGAGCAGAAATGGTTATTTTGATTGCTACAAACAGTAAATCAAGATTTTGGATTTGTTATTTAAGTACCTCAATTCTGCAGAAGGATTGAGATCCAGACCCATCTTCCCATCTAAAGGCTTATCCTGCCAGGATGGCACAGGGACCTTAATGGAGACAGGGCTTCTGAAAGTCACATATATTAAGTGATTTATAGATTTGCATGGCAAGGTAATTACTGGTGTGTTATAATATGCAGTTGAAATTTAAAGGAAAAAGATAAGAAGGAAAAATAAAATGTGACCGACCTCAGAGCTTGAGTTGAAGAGGTTGATCGGTCTGGATTTAAGTCTCGGTCTGCTGGAGACTCCTTCAGTGTGCTGCTCAGACCAGGAGAACTGAAAAGAAAGGGAAGTTCTGTTTTRTATAAAGACTCCTACACAATAAATAACCATAGAACTGTGAGTTTAAAGGTACAATGAACCAGGGGTCCTCAAACGTTTTGGATCTGGGGACCACTTACAAGGATGAAAAAAATTCCAGGGTCCCCTTCATGAACCTCATGCTGTTTTAAAAACAATTCACTGTCATTTTAACC